CTTGACCTCCATGCCTTAGCCTTGGCCTGTATTTGTACATTTGCAACCAGTAGCCAGGCTATGGTCAATTGTCAACACAACGACTATAGGTTGGGTTGTGTATTGAGGATACATAGAAGAACAAGTTGATCTTGTTTAACAGACATTTGCTATATAAGAAAATGTTTCATTGTAAAATTTTTTAATAGACAGGACCTCACTAGTTTTGACAAACAGGTGCACGAGAGCCTACAGGGTGTACAATTTGAATTCGAACAGATTTTTTTACAAAAAAAATCGTAAAAAAGTACACTAATGCTGTTTGTGCAGGTAAGTTACACGGCCAGGGGATGTTATATAGGCGGCTTACATTCACAATAAATCAGATAATTAACTAAAATGTCTTCATAAAGATTTTTAATTAATGAAATACTGATACTGTTTTAATTCCAAAATTGCTGAGCGTCATCGAAAACCACTAAATCAGTCAATTTTAGAAAGGCTTGAAGCACTCAGGTCGTTCTAAAAATTGACTTATTCTGTGGATTTCAAAGACACATACATGTTTGCAGGCACAGTAGGACGCGCATGCGCTTTTGCGTCATCTCGAAACCAGGCGACCCACCAGCAGATGGCAGAGCAATGCGTTTCAGTCGCAGCTCGTGCGTCCTGGGGACTTTTGTCCCCAACTGTACATAAAATAAAAGGAGGTAAACATGTATTGTCGATTACAAAGCAACTCAGGCCTTTATGAATCTGAATCTTAAAATACTGGAAACTGACAAATTTTAATGTGAGTTGGAGGAGTTTTTCAATATTCGTATAAATTGTCGTTTAAGTTGGAAACAACCTTGCCAAAAATATCCACTGCAATGTAGACAGGTTACTGATTTTGCAATAATTGGGAAATTATTTTAAACTGAAGGCACTCTTAATTGTTCTTATACTTTTCACAAATCAAGGCTCATATTCTCTCCTATCAGGCCCTTCAAAAATGATTTGCAATATTTTTTTTTTTTTTAATTTACAGAGCGCTAAATATACGGAATTACCGTAACGGGAGTAGTGAAAGATAGAACCTTGGCAATTCGAAACAAGGGCAAGAAAAGGGTAGAAAATTGTAGAAGTCCGTGAAGAGAAAGCACCGTGACAGGAATTCGTGAAAAATAAAAATTCAGACAAAAGATTGCAGATTAGTTTGAAGCACAAGTAAACATTTTAAATATCTACAGATTTCTAGGATCAGTGAATTTCGGAGCCCACCCTTCGTAGGAAGGCTGAGCTGCTGACAACCAGGTTTAGTGATAAGAAAATAGTGATAAGAAAGAACAGATGTTTTAAGTGGTACAGTCGAAACGAGTTTAATGAATTAAGATCCTGTGCGCACATCCGGCGCTGGTCGCGTGCATTCTTTCTGCCGGACGCTGACCTGAGTCGGTCACGGCGATATCCTGGCACTCCGAGGAGGAACATTTTATTCCCGTTTTGCCTGTAACGATCACTGTTCGTTTCTTCTCAGTGGCACCGGAAGCTCGCAACCTCGACCCGCTTTTCGCAGCCATAGAAGACTTTACTTTCAAAGATGTATCTTTTCTGCGTCGACTGTTCTTGCTACAAACAGCTGTGACTGAGAAGTGTCAGACCGCGTACACTGCCACAAGTGACAGGACTGAATTCCACGCACAACGGAAACAGAGTCCCACTCCTTTGCTTTCCTGTCCCTGAACAGTTTGAGGTCAGCTTTTGGGAGGTGGATTAGGTTCACGTTCGACAGTTTAGTGTTCAGTGGGGCAACCATCCCTGACGCCGACTTAATCACCGACGTGGCGGGCCGTCGGAGGTTGTACAACGTTGCGTTGTGCTTGAAAAGACCCCAGATTTTGTCGCAGGCACCGTTGCCATGTCCAGTTGCGAAAAAAAAATCCACTTCGCTGACGCGTACTTGTTGCTGTACAGCTCGTGTAGTTTGTACTTATCCTTAAAGCGGATTGCTGCACTATCAGTGACGTAGGTCACATGAGCATACCCAAATTGGATTTCACGATTCTCCAAAACCGTTGTCGTATAAATTAAGGTGTAGACAGTATCATTGAATTGCAATTTTTCTTTTTTCTGTATCTTTAGATTTTTTTTTCGTTGTGCGGTCCTCCACGGCGGCGGATCTATTGGCGCTCACAGGTGGCGCAGGTTCAAGTTCTGTCGCGCCCTCCCTCCTGGATCATGTTACCGCCAAGGTTGAAGGCTGATCTGTTTGCAAAGTCGCTCCGGTTGCTTCCTCTACGGAAGCAACCGGAGACGCTACACTCCGGCTGTTGAAACAGGCACCGCGAAGCATGTTACAGGGTGGCACCTCTCGATCTCTCCGGCCCAGGGGCATTTTTGGGTCGGTTGTAGAAAAATGTATTAAGAATTTTCCCTTCAAAACTACTGTCCACCTCTGTGCTGTCGATTTGTCTTTTAATAACCACCCCATACCATTTTTACACTTTTTAATATTAATGAAATGGAGAAGAATGGGTATGGTGAACGCACCATTTATGACAACCGCGTTAGCGTCAATTTGGCCGTATTTCTCGCATTATAGCTTCAAAGCCACACAAATATTGCATTATGATTTTGCATTCACACATTTCCAAGCAAATTCGCACTCGCGATTTGATCGAGTGTACCTGCCGGCCACTCTTGCAGTGCAAAAATGTTCCAAAAGCCGGGTGAATTCATGATTGAAAAGGTTTACTCCGACTTAACATAACAAATTAATAACAAAAGGTACAGACGTTTCGCCACCTATGCAGGTGGCATCTTCAGTATACACTGACACAAATGAGGTGAGGTCGACCAGTCTACTTATCACACACGTCCCCGTAAACGTCCGGCAGGGGGCCACGGTTGGTGTTGCACACCGATGAGTCACGGCGAATGCACCAGGACTCGACGAATTTTCTCTGCCCCCACCTTTGTTCTCGGGCCAGCGTCGTCGCATTGTCCAGGTCGAAAGTGTGTCCTGTCGTCCAGCAGTGTTCGACAAGTTCCGTCTTGGACCGCGTGGCATGGGTGGCCACCCATGCCACGCGGTCCAAGACGGAACTTGTCGAACACTGCTGGACGACAGGACACACTTTCGACCTGGACAATGCGACGACGCTGGCCCGAGAACAAAGGTGGGGGCAGAGAAAATTCGTCGAGTCCTGGTGCATTCGCCGTGACTCATCGGTGTGCAACACCAACCGTGGCCCCCTGCCGGACGTTTACGGGGACGTGTGTGATAAGTAGACTGGTCGACCTCACCTCATTTGTGTCAGTGTATACTGAAGATGCCACCTGCATAGGTGGCGAAACGTCTGTACTTTTTGTTATTAATTTGTTATGTTAAGTCGGAGTAAACCTTTTCAATCACTCTTGCAGTACATATTACAAACGTTAATTTCGCAGAGTTTAAAGAATATTAAAGTTCACCTTTTTTTAAATGATTTTCAAAATAATGCATATTTAGTCACATGCCCAAGTGGGAGCAATTGTAAATTTCTCCCGCCAACCAGGACAACAATATTTAATTCAAAGATGAACTATATACAGTACAACACACTGGCAAAGTTTGAAGGACTTCGCTTTTACAGATACGGATAAAACAAATCTTTAATCCACAGCGTTATTGTGCAGGGGCCGTATTTGCGATTTTCTCAAAATACCGACCCTAATACTCGGTAAAAATTACTTTTTTCTCAAACCTTCCTATGCTTAATTTGTCAGTAAATATTTATAGACCCGTAGCCAGAACAGTTTTTTTTTTCCTCTGGGGAGGGGGGGGGGGGGGGGAGCTGCCCAAAATACCAGCATCGTGCGAGATACGCAAAACGCGCACGTGACAGAGGTGGTGCTTATAATTTTGTTTTTTCGCAAATACAATTTTTTTTTTTAAATAAGGATTGATTTTTTTTTTGGGGGGGGGGGGGGCACGAAGCCAGCAAAATCTTTTTTTTTTTTCATCAAAATTAAAACTGGTCGCCGGACATGGTTCTTCGATCTTATCAGAAAACGCCCCACAGCCTCGGGTAATTTTCAACACATTTATGTCTAGCTCCAAGTGCCTCAGAGGGGACATGGTGATACATTCTAATTTATATCTAAAACGTAAAGTTCCAACTTGGCGACTTGGCACTGGCCATAGTGGCCTTGTTGTCGAGATTCTATTTTAAGCAGACTGAATTCACGCTGCCTAGATATTGATTTAGGCAGCGTGAAGTTTGCTAAACACTACTTTTATATGTGATGGCACCAAATACCATACTTTCAATGCAGACTTCATTTGTTAAACGAGATGATTGTGAATTTTAACACTACAGACAGAATGTACAGTTTATATCCATGTGAAGATGAACCGGGACCATAGACTGCATCTTACTGGCGTTTTATCATGCTAAACTTGCTTGACAATTTCTTATGAACAAAAATCCCCGTCAAACCTGAACAACCCTTGTAATACGTAAAGACATATAAATTGTACGAATCGCGACGACAGAGATGACACATCCATTGTACCCATTGAGGTATTTTTAGATTGAATGTGAAGTTAAATTTTATTAACTCAATATATATATATATATATATATATATATATATATATATATATATATATATATATATATATATATATATATATATATATATATATATATATAACTGTGAAGAAAAAAACCCTTAGTGGAAACAGCGACAACGGACGATTTAATCTTCGACGTTTCGGCCGGAGTCCGGCCTTCGTCAGGAAGGCCGGACTCCGGCCTTCCTGTCGAAGATTGTCTTGTCTTCCTGACGAAGGCCGGACTCCGGCCGAAACGTCGAAGATTAAATCGTCCGTTGTTGCTGTTTTTCACTAAGGATTTTTTTCTTCTCAGTTTTATACCCACGCCTTCGGCCTCCCGCCACCATGCCCGTTGTATATATATATATATATATATATATATATATATATATATATATATATATATTTAAAAAAAAAACTGAAACAGCAACCATGAAAATGTTTTCTTTTTTTATTTACCAGCAAAGTGTTCTGATAGAAGTCAAGGTAATTTAGTTAATTGTTTCAACAGAGACGACTCATGCGACAGCAAAGTGGCCAGTAGAAACGATAATTGTGCACGTACAGGCAACTTCCGTATCCTGGAACACCGCACCTGAAAGAGTGAAATTCCTTAGGAAATGTCCTGGAAACCACAGAGTTAGGATATATTCGAAGCTCACCTGCTTCGTTGTCTACTATACTTTGTTGTGTATACCAAGGTAGTAATTTTTTTGTACCTGTGGTCTTTCCTTTGATAAGTTAGAATTGCTTTGATATCTTAATGCCACAATATTTAACCTTTTCTAAGTAAAATAATGTTAACAAAATATATAGTTTGATGAAATAATTAGACAATAGGAACGAGTGAAACTGTTAGAAATGTATGCGAGAGGCGTTTTTACTCTTTGTGAGTCGTATTGAAGGAGCTGATAAATAATATTATTGTAATTATATGAATAATGGCTTTATATAATTAGTTTTAAAACATGTGCAAGATGTTCCTTGTCCAATTGACCATTTCATTAATTTATCGAACCGAAGATCAATTGGTAGTATTGGCGCTCTTTTCCTAATTGAGAGAGATCCCAAATTTCTTTGTTGCCCAAAATGGCTATGATTCCTTTCGCGACAAAATTCAAAATTCAGAAGAGAATGCTGTAAACGACTTAATTTTAGCGGGACCAAATATTCATAAATCGGGCCAAAGATGAAAATTTGAAATTATTCGCGGGTTATAATTTTCGCGAATCGAGTGTAGCTTCCGTAGCGTTCATATATTGCCCAAAATGTTCGCGGTGCGTATTTTTCGCGAATTGTAGGCGATTCGTGAAATTCGCGAAAACTACGTCCTCGCGAAAATTTAGTCGTTTACAGTAATCTATATTCCTTCACTGATATCGGTATATTATTATACAATGTTTTAGGTATTCCGTCACTACCCGACAAATCTACAACTTACGCATCATTTTAATGACTTTAACAAATAAATAATACACAAAATCTGGAAACGCCTTATTTCGTACATTTATTTATGTTCCATTCACAAGAAAAGTCATCAATTCTTTTTTTAAAAAAGCTAACAAGGCGAAAAGTGTTTCAAAACCTTCTGTTCACCGATATCTACACCATTTAATATGTTTCGTTTTCATCATAGCTTTAAAAAAAAATTTCTGGTGTATGTATTACCAATTCGACAGTTTGAATATACTAAATGGCATTCCATACTTAACGGCAAAGCAAAAAGCTTAGTTTGTATTTTTTTTTATAAATTATCGGTTGAATTTTTATGCTTATTTGGGCACCTGTTATCGGCAGTTATCGATATGATATTATATTCCAGTTAGGCGAACAATGTAGCTCTACGGGAAAAAACAAATTCAGCCTAACATGTATTACGAAAAATAATTAACTAAAATGGCTAACTAATGCAGCTCTAAATAAATCAATGGATGGTATGTTTACTGAAGATTCGGGAAGGTGGTCCCAATCAGAGGACGTTTGAGGAATGACAAAGTCAATGTATGCTGAAGTTTTGCAATGAGGTATGCCAACTTTAAAGTGATGACCAACGCGCGTAGAAATAATAGATGGACTGAGGAATAGCCTGTCCTACAGTGCGGCGTTAGAATGGTAAATTTTGTAAAACAGTCATAGGCGTGATATTTTTCGACGTAGTAAAAGAAGAGGCAGAGATATAGTTGTTTTCATTGATGAAATGAGAATATATGCCATTCAGCATCCATATAAAAACGTTACTCAAGTAATAAACGAAGGTTTGCCTTACGGAGTTTGTGCATAATGTACTGCCAGAAAATACAAACCCGTCAATAGTTAGTGTTTTTGCTGTAGCATTGCAACTCCAATATTCACATGGGAATTTGAAGGGTTCAGAGTGTCCATTTTTCAGCGTTATATTTCGATACGTACATGTACCTGCAGGATTGATGGTAACAGAAGAAAAGAAATCAGGAAGCTTTCAGGGCTATTTGCGGATGATTGTCTGGTGTATTCAAATATCGAGGAGGAAGACGACCAGCGCAGATTAAGTGCATCTGTTGGGTCTATATTCAGGACTGGTGCTCGAAATGGAAGATGAAAATTAATACACAAAAAACGGTTTTCGCACGAATAACTAACAAAACTAAAAATGTTCTTTCTTATACTTACGAGCTTGATTGGAGTCCTTTGGTTGAAGTTGATAGTTTTAAATACTTGGGTGTGACACTTTCTAAAGACTTAAGTTGGAGTAAACACATAAATAGAATATGTCCCAAAGCAATGAAAAAGCTTTGGTTTTTAAGACGGAATCTGGCCTAAAGTGAAGTTAATGGCCTACACAACGTATATTAGGCCTACCTTGGAGTACGCTGCAACGGTATGGGACCCCTATAGAAAAAATCAAATTGGTGAACTCGAAAACGTTTAGAGGAAGGCGGCGCGATTTATTCTATCCAAATACAAGCGACTTGATTCTGTCACAGATATGCTGAACAGCCTCAATCTCCCCTTACTTTCCGTTCGTCGAAAAATTGCTCGACTAAAGTTTTTCTTTATGTTTTCTCATCACCTGTATAACATTAACCCGGATTCTAGATTAACACATCGCGCATCGAGAGAACTCAGATACGTTAGCACTAATCAGTTTGAAGTGCCGAAATGTAATATTGACGCTTATAGGTTTTCTTTTTTCCCTAGAACTGTAAAAAACTGGAATGATCTCCCACAAAATATATTGTCATTGGACTGTTTAGATGATTTTGAGAGCGCCCTTTTGAATATGACTGATTTGGAATGATAAATTGTAGTTAAATATTTTTTAGAAATTTCGTTGAAGATTTCGAGTGCTGAGAAAACATTTTGAGTGCTATATAATATATTGAATGTTTGTGCTATTTCAGCCCCTTTATCTTAAGTGAATGTCGCTGAATGTGTACTGTATTGTAGTCCTGATGTTGTATGTTTCAGTGCTCTTCTCTACCCCACACCTGTTAAAGCCCCACACTTGGGGTGAACAGTATTCATAAATAAATAAATAAATAAATAAATAAATAAGACTTTTGGGGGTGTTAAAATATTCAGCTGTTCATAGGATTTTATAGGTAAAACAGCCGTTCGCGTGATATCGTAGTTTTTCGAAAAAACAAGGTATACAATTTAAAGTGCGAAAAAGGTATCACGTTGCAAAATATTTTATTTTAATTCGAACTTTTATATTTTAATTAAAAGGTGAGTTTGAGACACGTTCCGTTTTCACCATGTACTTATCAGGATCGGCGGACACTCGGTGATGGGATTGTCATCGTGCAAAGTTGACTAATTTACTTAAATTCGTTCGTTAACATTTTAAATATTTGTTTAGTATTGACAAGAATTACTACTAGACGCCAGTTCAACTTTAATTATTTGAGAAATGGTTACGATTTTGAGATATTCATTAATAAATTTTCGCGTGTTTTTCATCGATTTAAAAATTAAAAACGCATCAATCCCTCTTCATAGTGACGCTTGGAAGAGTACGTGGTCGTTTGGGTCACGTCGTCACTTGTGTCTTCGGCGCACTCACCAAAGGATACGCTGCTGAGATAGTCACGACAGGATTGAAACGACATAGTCAGTCTTCCAAACTTTAAATGTGACGATAAAAATGCGATAATTGATCGATTAATACCTAAACGCACACCATTAACTTATCGCTTTTTTTTTAATTGCTCTGGCTTGTGATGGTAATTGCCGCCAATACTAAAATACCCACCAGAACCCTAAAACCAATAATTAAAAAGTTAATTAAGAGGTCTCAGATAATTGATCTCTGTCTTATATTTACATTGTGCAGCCAGAACCCGTCTAGCTGTCACCTCATACTTTAAAAGAAAAAATCTGTTCAAATTAAAATTATACATGCAGGTGTATATGGTCAATTTACACAGAATTTAAGACTCGCTTTTTTAGTTTTTAAAATCCGCCGTTTTGTTGACTAGCGGCGATCTGTCACCAGTTTTTTTTTTTTTTTTGTGATCTAGATTGAATTAGGGACAAGGCAGTGAAGTTCGTTGCCCGAGTATGAATGGGGCTGTTGACGCCCAGTGATGTTTGTTGGCGGCGATCGTGGCCAATGGAAGATTCCAAATAATGATCTCTTCGGAAGTGCCTTTGGTAGAATTTCTTTTATTTTGACTAAACTATGTGCATTTCTTTTTCTTTTTTTTTTTTAAGTGCGGAATTAAGAGATCACTGACGCGCGCCGAGGCGCGCAAGTCCACACCAAACGTCGAACTCTCTCGCACGCATCAGGCCTTTGTAAGGGTTCCTCTTCCCCGCTGGCTACAACAAGTCCATCAGTTTATACCTAGCCATTGCAACATGCTAGACTCCCATCCTGTGATCGGCTGGCGGTCAACACGAACATCCGCCGAGCCCTCAACGAGCGCTAAGAATTCCTCGCAGAATTGCTACTTGCGCTGCTCCCCACCACCGCGGCGCCAAAGCCACGACTGTATGTAACAAATGGCGCGATCCCACAGCAACAGAGACGATATCGGCCCCGCAAACAATGCAAAAGAAAAGCAGCCTCCCGTAGACGCAACGCACGGGCGCTGCGCACACTGCCGCATTCATTAAAGGGGCCCTTCAAGCTACTTCAAGCTAGTAACCCTTTCTCGAACTTTCCCGATAAGTTACATATTGTTATTGTTATATGCTCACGGTCACATGCTCGTAGTCGTTGTCTCGCATTCGAAATTTGATCAGAATTGTCTCAGGAAGTCCAGGCAAGGCATGACAATAGTGTAAGCTGGCGGGAACACTTGAAAATATGCTTTGTGTAAATATCGGAGTGGTAGCCGAAGTATTGCCATGAGACTTCGCATCCGAATTATTTTTGGTTGTACTTAGAGAAATCATCCGTAGCTATTACAGGGCAGAAAAACAAGCAAATCAAATTAATTTCCTACTGGTTTTTTTTAAATTAAATCTAAATACTAGCTGAAGGAAACGTGGACTGCAGGCTCGATTTAAAATGAACCGTAAAAATCAACGTCTGCACGTAGCAATCTTGTACGTTCCATAGCTGAAAAAGGAGGTCGTTGCCGTTACAGTTACAAACTGGAACGTATCGTTATATATACGTTACATTTGTAGTGTGCTGAATACCATATTTATTTAGATCGAGCAAAGTTTTCTTCTTTTTTGGTCTATTCAATCAAATCGCAACATACGAATTTGAATGCCGTGATGGAAGGGCATCAGGAGAAGGAAGCAGGCGGAAGTAGAGTTTTATTTGATGATATATTCGCCATTAAAAATCGCAGCTTTCAATCATATTCATATTTTAGTGGCCGATTCAGACGAGCCAAATGTACTCTTACCCCACATTTCACCAGCGTTTTACAACAACCTCAGACGTTTCAATCTAACAAAGTACCTTGTTCGAACTTAACAACAGTTCCTTCTCGATGTTGCTGTCCACAATACGAGCAAGTGAAGAAGAGGGTAAGGTTTTTCGAAGGTCAGTCTTGAAAACTACACGTCCTTCTTCGTGAAGGTTTGATTCATTGTTCAGTTTGAAGGTGGCGGAGAAGGGGAGAAAGAATAAAAATGTATTTTTTGCGTATCTTCTAAGTGACTAATATTCATATACAAGGGCGAGTTCGATTTCTGGTAACCTGTTCTTTTGTTGTAACTGTAGGTCTCTTTGTGGAAGTTCAGTGATGGCTATCGTCGGCCTGTTTTTTTTTTTTTTTTTGAGTGTATGAGGATTTGTGGTAGCAAAGTAGCTCAGTCTGAAACATCTCTCTTTCTGTGTCTTTTCCTTTGACTAAAAGTTTTGCTTTTTGTACTGCAGCCTTGGGCACTGAAAAGATAATCAATGCTTACTAGCTCTCCTGCATCCGACTGTTACCAAGCGAGAACTACACAAAATAAACCCTATAATAAATAACCAAAACTTTATCGAGATCCCGCTGTCGATAAACATGTTATTTTTGTACTTATAGAAGTTCTCACTTAGAAATAAAATAAAGAATTACCACACTGGACGAACCAAAGGAAGGCCGTTCCTTTTTCTATTCCAGCAAAAATATAACGAATTCCGGTTCCAGTTCCACCAATGCAAAATTGAACGGCCGCGTTTCTTCGCTCCTCCTAAATAGAACGCGTTCCAGGAACGCGTTCCTTGGAACGCCTTTCGTACAATAATGGATCGCACCATGACGGCGGGGTGAGCTTGGCTGAGTATGGGGGCGCCTAGAGTGGTTTATGGGCACGATAGTGTGACTAGAGAGTGTTGCCTGGTAACCAGATAAAAATGATACCCACAAGCAAATTTATTACTTCAATAAATTATGACGATACTTGGTGTATATATTAAGTAGCCTATAAGCATTCTTTTCAAGAATCATCTACCCGTTTATGTTTCGTGCCCTAACACCTTTAAGGTCCGGAATTCTCAGACAAATATCAAATTTTGGCCCAAAGAACTGTCATTTGGGGAGTTACTCCAGGGCGGCAGAGTAATTGTTCGTGAACTGTTAACGATAAGTGACATAGGCATAGTCTTGTGAAGTGCAGACGAAGTTTGACCCTAGTGGAAGCTTGCAGGAAGAACTGCAAAGATGCCTTTTTGAAGTCTCAATGTACCTGGCCGCCAGAGTTTCGCCAAAACAACTTCGATTCTGAAAAGATTAATCTCTTCACAAAAAGTCATATGACGCTCCCAAGCTCCCAGTATGGTACTGGGAGGGAAATCATATTTCTATGCTTTGGGTTGCTCCCATGCAGAGTATCGGCATCTGTCACAGGGCAAGTATCAATGGCAGAGCAAACCAATGAGGTGAACAGTGCAAAATTGTCTGCAACATGTAGTTAGATTACCTGCAACTATTTTAATATAAAAAATAAGACAAAAAGAACACTATGCTTACAACCACGCTTTTCGAATAGATAAGCTGTGATTGAATAACATGGTGTTATAATTTCTAAATATTCTAAGTAGGTCTTTTGATTATTTTTTTACCTCCAGCATAAATGCTTTTTTTTTTATGTGTGCATGCATTATATTGGCTCCTGGGGAAGTGACAAGCTCACTCATGAAATAACCGCAGTTCGTAATTTTATATTAATCTTCGCATCCTCACTCGCATTGATTCATGACTTAACTCAATAGAGAAATGAATATTTCGCATTTTTCACAAAAGGTATCTGTCTTTCTTCCCAATTACACGTGGTTTAAGGCTAACACAAAAACAATATTTTTCAGGGCATAACATATTGTGCAAAATAAGAGCAAAATAAATCATGAAAGAACGAATATGACTTGGGCGAGCTCTATTTACATACAGGAAGGACGAAAGCAAACCCTTTAGAGAAAAGGTACAAAAGTTTTGTTTTGGTCTTATTTTTGTTTTTGTTTTGGTTTAAATGAGGAAGTGAATTTATAAAAAGAAAAAGAGGGCAAGAATGGTAAGTGCAAAGGGTGCGCCAGTTTTTACACGATTGTACCACCAGTGTTCTAAGCACTGAATAACATAGGGAATGACACCCATCAAAGTAGTCTGTCAATTTTTAAAAGCTTACAAGGGATTTATTTGTTGTCCTGATTAATTTATTTGGTTCATAGATCTGGCTAATATTTTTCGTATTCCTACTACAGATTTTTGTCTCATCCATTACAGAAAATGCATTTGGGCCCTGAAGGTACATAACATATAATTAAATTAATTGATATTTTAATTATTAATCAAATAGGGAACTATAACAATTTAAATATGTCATGGACAACTAACATTTACACCCTTAAATCGTCCGAAGAGCAGTAGAAAGAGAAATAAAAATGTGTACTACCGTTATTAAATGAAACTCCATAAGGGTGGCTTTGATTAGCGGCTCCCATGAGAAGTGGCACACCTCCCAAGGCGATCAGAGCCCATAGAACGATTGACCTCATTTCCACTGGAAAGAAAAAACAAATTCTGTGAGTTATCACAGTTAGTAGTGTATCTCATTGAAAGGCAGTGTTGTATCTGATTTTAGTTCGTTAGTTCTGGTTTCCGACCATTAAAGAGTTCTGATTTTCAACCGGAACTAACACTAGATTTCCACACTTAAAAACGAACATTGAACGCCACTATGGAGTGGAGACTTACAAATATTTGTTCTGTTCACGAGTAGCGTTCAACTGGAACACTTTACCTGTGCACATAACGTTTCTTGATCTCTAGACCAACTCTCATCATTTGTATAACTTCATAAAAGTTGGCGCTATTACTGTTGCTGCTTTGCTGGAACTTATATTTCTGTTTCCCATTTTGTACACACAGCATTATTTTAAAATGTGATATTCCCAACGTGCTTTTGACAGATGTGTTTGTTTAGTATTTGTGTTCAAGACCCTGGCAAAGTGTGACCACGCTCTTGTTAAAGTGTTTTTGTATGCCAGTCCTATTATATTCCTTGTAAGAAATAATAGTATTTTTAAATGAATTATAAATGAATATATAAATTGTGCCAGCCGTCAGAAATCGGATAAAACTAAATGCGCAGAAAACCTTTACTTATTTTGAATGAAGTATGTGCGTATAAAACTATTCCCTACAGGAAAAGAGACATACACCCAGAGCCCACACCACAAAATGCCTTATAAGAACCCAAAGGAAAAATTTTAAAATTCAGTACTTCTTTTTTTTAATTTTAAGGTGGTCAAGACAGCATTCCTTACCATATGCTACACGTATTACACACATAAAAGACATTAAAAATTGTTCGCACTGCGTGCTTCATTTATCTAACTTGTATATCGGAAATTTGAAAATCGATAAAGACAAGTGGAAGAAAACAAGCCCCCTTATTCGGCACCTGACGAGAAAAGTATAAGAAACAACCATGGGCCAAACATCAAATTAACCTGTGCGTTCTTTGTTAAAAATTACGTATCCTATGTGATATGGTGCTTCTTATAATATGAAATCGGATGGGTCGAAGGGGTGCGTATATTTTTAATATGGTGAGTCTAAGGTTTGTGGAACAAATAATTGACTACACCTTAAAGACTATATGGATCAAGGGCATTAAATACCACTGTACAGCCATAATGTAAGCTGCCTTCTCTAGTTTTAATGGCTCGCACACTTCATCAACCCAATGACAGCTCCCCCCCCCCCCCCCCCCCCTGTTTGGCCGATTCCCACTTTCTTTCTTCAGGTGCGCATGTTTTATTTTGGATTAAGTACATTGCAAGTCATGTTTCCGCATCGGCAACAGCATTGTCAAGCCTACATATAGATGCAAATGTCACAAAAATAAAAACTAGTATCATCTGGACTATCTAGCTTTCACAAGAATACCGCTAACATATTTATGCGTATGCATTTAATATTTATATAACTAAGTATTGATTCAAAAACCGCGACCCCAGTAACCATGGATGATTATCTCTTCTCGCTTACACAAGCTGCACGTGCACATTTGATCATTGCAATAAGTTCGTCTGCTTCTTTTGCAGGTGTAGTGGTGACATCATAACACCGAGCTTTGATTGGTTTTGATTGAAGGATAGTGGGTAGGTCTGCACTCTAAAAAAAAAAAAGCCCGTGCTTCTGCTTTCCGGCACAACACTCGGAGAGCCAATCACCGCAAGTTACGGAGGCAGCCCATATGCTTAGACCAAACATATGCTTAGACCAAAAAACGCAGTCCGAGTTGTGACATTATAAGCAATAAAAGTGTGACGTTTTGCATTGCTTAATGTCCGAACTCAGACTGCGTTTTTTGGTCTAAATATATGTTGCGGCAATGTCATTCGCTGAGCTGCCTCTGTAAGTTGCGGTGATTGGCTTCCGAGGGTTGTGCGTGAAAGTACACGCACAAACTTTTTTTAGAGTGTGAAGGAACCTTGCTCTGAGGTCTACCCGCTATCCTTCCATCAGAGCCAATTAGAGCTCGCAGTTCTGACGTCACCACAACTTCTGCAAAGGAAGCGGACGAACTTGAACTCCGCATTATCCCAGTACCCTCCGTTTCGCATTAAGTCCGAGTACAACCAGCACTAAAATCCGACGGAGCCAATCAGACAGCGCAGAATATGCATCGTCATGGCGCATGGTCGCCTTGGTGGTGCATATGCTATCACTAATCAAACCAATCGCTCACAAGAAGAACCCACAGGATTGCTGCGCATTCTCTGCGCGTGGTTTGTCTAACCGGGGACAGCAAACGGATAAAGGCGACAAGCTTCGTGACGATGCACTTTTTATCGCTTAGTGATTGGCTCCATTGGATCTTAGCGTGGGCTACGCTATGGCTTAGTGTGAAACAAAGTATACAAACACAAAGAAACGTTCATGCATTCGGAGCCACAGCGCAACTAACAGGTGGCGATCTAACATTCTTATCTGCTGTGCTCCATAGATTTCAACCAGAACTTGAGATTCTCGTGGTTCGAGAAATTCAGAGTTCAAAATATCTCGGTACCTTTTAGGTAAAAAAAAACTCTTACCCGATTAGATCTTCCCTTGAACCAGCAGGGTTGTGTTGTGCGAATGCGGCGGAACGATACGACAGTTTATGTAGGAAAGTTGTGTGAGCTTAAAGTATTCGTGAAGCAGGAAGACAAAACAACAGTTATAAAAAAAGATGTTGCGCGAAAGCAAATGACCTTTTATTAGTCAATAAAATATAAAAAAAACAATCATACTTGTTTTTAAGTCGAAAGAAGCAGCCGTTTCTTTGACTTTGATTTTCATGAATTTCGAAAATAACTTCCTACAGTTAAGTTTGTGACCTGAGCAGACTTCAGTTCGTGACCTGAGCAGACATCAGTTCTCGCCTTTTGTGGTGACCTTTGCAGTGCGTCTGATGCATGACTTTTCGAAGTCACTATTTTTTGAGTTGATGAAACCCTTTGAACTTTTACATCCTGTTTCTTTCACAAACCCGTGTTGTCGTTACCTCCTTCGTTTTGTCTCTGTCCTTCGGCACTTCTATCCAGTCAAGGGCTTGCAGCCTGCGGACCTGCGATCTTTACTTCAAAAAATTATAATAGATTTCAATGACTAGATAAACAGATTATCGTCACCAATTACGTCTAAAATAAAGTATTACTTTAATTGGTACGGAAGAAATTGCTTGCACATTGCTTTACCCGAATACTTCTCAACACTAAATTAATGTGTTCTTTTTAATGATTCAATTGAAAGTATTGCAATCGTGTTTGCGATATCTCAATATTATGTTTCTTGTGATATCTGTACAGGGGCGGATTTAGAGGGGGGGTCCGGATGTCCTGACCCCCCTCTTGATTTTTGCATGTGCAAAAATTTTGGACGTGAAACGAGGGGGAGGGGGTTCATAAACGTATGGTACGCTGACCAACACCTGACCCCCCCCCCCCTCAGGAAATTCCTGCATCCGCCCCTGTATCTGTATAACAAATGTGTATACATGAATAAAAAGAACGTGCTGTGCTTCTTATCATTTGTGCTCAGTGTTGAAAAGAACAGACGCCAGCGAGCAGACGTTTGCAGAGATTCGGCAGCAATCCGGGTAGCACACTTCTTTTGGCCCAAACGTGTATTTGTTTGGGAATTTATGGTCTTGATAAGCCCGAAAAAGTCAAGGTAAAACCAAACATGACCTTCTTGGGCCCGAGTCTGGGTACCTTGGCCCTAAATCGTCAAACAAGTGTCAAGGTTCATCTTCACTGCCTGGTAGTTTCCGGCACCCTTGTGCATAATTGAAAAACAAGCGCCAAAGCTAGGCTACAGTTTTAGTTGTTTGTTTCTTATATTTTAACTTTGGGACAAAATTGCCAGATAAGCGCTAGAATTAGTCTTCGCTGCTAATTGTTCGGTTGATGTGTGGCATCTTTTGCCGAAGTGTGGCAATTTGACAATTATGCGACAAACCAAAGTGAAGCCATTAAAAAGCAAAAGAAAAGCATCTTTGAACTAACGCCTTGGAGCGAAACTAAATTAGGCCCAAGTTAGGGCCCAACAATTGGAAAACTTGGGCCAAATTAGGTGTTTATCTGGGCATGCTACTAAAACAACTGCACGTCAAAGCTTTTTGTTTTGCAAAAATCATACGCTTGATGTAATGCCGCTCTCTATATTGCTAGTGATATATCAGAGAGAGTATTGAAAATGATACATCGAAAAATGGAAAACACTAAGGCTTCACAAACATGGTACAAACGCGACAAAGTAAAATAAAACGAAAGGGTTTCTCACTAAGCTTGCGACCTACGCGACAATACAATGTCTTAACTTTCCGAGCAACGGAGATACAAGTAGAGCCTATCATCTATCATTGTACAAGCTTAGTTTTTTATACGCCGGTCAAGTCCTACACACCTACCGGAGCAGGAACAGGTACGAGCCTATAAATTATTAAAAAATTAAGAGTGAGTTACTGGATGGGTTATGGAATTATATGATCATTGCAATCTCGCGTGAGTCGTTCTTGTTTAGTGGTTGTTTAGCCGTCTTTGGTCAGACTCTATATGGTGTCCGTGCCACTTCCGGCCGCCATGACAGGGGGAGAGAAATACTTCCGGTTCTCCCATGTTTACCATGTGTTTGGGTGGGTGCGCGGCGACTCTTGGTTCACTAGCGAGAAACTGCGCGAAAGCCACACTCTAGAAATGCCCCAGTCTCGTGCTTTAAGGTTCACCGGCACGAACAAAATCTCGAAAGTAAAGTTCTTTCAGTTATCTCGAGACAAGGGACGCCACTGACACCGCCGAACTTCGGTGATCGTTGCTAAGCAAGCAGTGCTTGCCTACTTCGATGTGCTGCCGACAGATGGCGCAACGTGACAAACAAGAATATTACTGACCCTAGCGAAGATGCCGCACCAGCGTCGCCTCGACCGACTAACAGTGATAGATGCAAACCGGGCCATTAAGGCACGTATAAATGCAAGGTGACATGGTGCTCTGGGAAAGAATCC